TTATTATTAAATAACGAATTTGTTTACGATTAATTGACTAAAAAAAAATGTTAATGAAACCGAAGTATATTCGTCAGTTTAAAATTAATCGGTAGATGTATAATGTATATACCTATATATAAAATAAAAATGAATTTCAACAGGAATATAAACTAATAAAATAGCGGAAACAAGTACATAAAACAACACGTCATCACGCAGGGTAAGCAGAAGTGCTCCATCTCTCATTGTCAATACTAAAAAAACAAAAATGTTTTTACGTCCCTATACCAATATTTCATACGGAGTGAATTTGATTGATGGATTATTTTAAGGTAAAAAAAAATATTTGGTAAATTTGATTGAGCATTTTCCTTTACATTTTGGATTAACTGGTATTTCTCAAAATGCCTAAGATTTTGTTGATCAGATTAGATACATATGATTAGGAAAATAAATTATTGCTTGGACGCCTAGATTAACTATAATTTACTAAAAGGTTTTTTTTAAACGTAATTAAAATAAGTTATCATGTAATATATTTTATAGATATAATTAGGTATTTATATTTATACGCATTTATTCATGACATATAACTAACAAGCATGTTTGTGGTTCATAATATAACTTAGTGCGTGATAGATTTTATACATTACATATTTTAAACAGTAGGTAGGTACATTTTGTTTTCTTTAACACGTACATAACACATGTTTAGTCTACCGATTTTATTTTTTAACAAATTAATATTCTAGAATATGTTTTATTAACGACATAATTCTTTATAATCAAACACATTACATTATATAGGCAATGTAGAATACAAAATGCTGGTTCATACTTTCAACCAATTGATTGCAGTGTACTTTATTACTTAAAATGCTTAAATAGTATATGTAATTGTTAAACACGACACGATATTGATTCTCATCAATCATGGCCATCTCTAGGGTGTATGAGTAAAGATGAGTATTAATAATGAGCAAAATCACTTGAAAGCCCCCATGTTATGTATAAAATACGAAATGGCTTTCAATTCGTGTTCATTGACTCTGAAGATTGTGAGATTTAGTGACGAAAAGGCATGCATGCACGATACACCCTACCCAGCAATTTTTTTCATTTTAACTTCTTGTTGTGGAATCATTAATATGCCGTTATTCTAAGTTTTCCTCGGAAACAACCCAAAAGCGTTGTAATACATTTTAAAATAAAAAAAGGGTAAGTGGATGCCGCTCTGCTGTACTTTAGGTGTCTAGAAGGTTGCTGTAATAGATGGTAATACATTTTATATTGTTATTACTAATTATTGATAAGGTAGTCGGTAATTTAAATTAATATTATTCTTAAATAATCAGTGATGCTGGAAAAATATTACATAATATACTTATGTTAAATTGGGCAGTTTTGGAACCGAATCAAAACAAAATGACTACAATCGTTATTCTTTGTGTTAATTTGTAATTTCATCTAAATTTGAACTTAATATAGGTAACTATAAAAAAATCTGTGTTTTTAGATTGATTTGGTTACAAAATAACCTACTTACACTGAATTTTGTTTTAAATTTTCTATCTTTAGCTGTAAAAGTTGAACATTCAATATATTTTAATTGGCCAAAAAAAGCTCAAAACAAATCAAAATATTTTGAAAATTTTATCAAGTATATGAATTGATTAAATAAACATTGGTGTCAACAATCTCAAGTATCTACAGTTATACATTCTGCAAACGCTTATATAAAATTATTGCGGACTTACGCTCAACTTTTTTAATTTCCACTAATACCAACTTATGAGGAACCTTGCGTTAAATTTTCAAGTTTTTTGACCAAACTAACATTTTCTTATAGACATTAATTGAAAGAAAATAAATAATAATTGAAAATTTCATATGCCTATAAATAGTTCAACATGGGTCAAAATATTGAAAATTTTATGGTGTATAGAAAATGGTAACATAAACATTAAGTGAAAATGTCATGTATCTATGGTCATATTTTTTAGAGTTACACCAAAATCCAAAATCGATTTTTACAAAAACTGGTTTTGCGTAAAAATTTCCGGGTTTTCCTTAATTTTTTGTTTGTTTTTTTAATCGCTTTTGAAAACTATTCTGAATTTTTAATTTTGACCTCCTAAATGCATTAACTAGATTCACTTTCGGAGAAAATCGAAGAATTTTTATTGCCCCAAACCGTGTAACACACAAAAATAAAAAATAAAAAAACACATCGTTGTAAAATCAATACATTCATCGCTCCGCTCAGAATCTAAAATATCAATTAATATAAGCTATTTATCAACAACAAAAGTTGAATAATATTATATAAAATAATAATAATAATAATAATAATATAATACACATCACATAACTATTATTACTATATATCTTTGTTACAAATATTAAAATGCATACTATATATTATAATCGGGCGCTTGTAAATATTGCACCCATAGTATCTAAGTGACTTTGAATTCATCGATATCTATCTATACTAAGTATATATATTAACGATAAGCATAACTTATAATTATATTACTATTAACCCTAGGTATACTATATCATTTTACTGATTTTTTATTTTTATTAATCCTATGTTACTCCATTTGAAAAAAAAAATTGGTTTTCTATTTTTATTTATTTATTTCAAACAAACCAAAAAACATTGTTGGAGGACAGTGATAGTCGCCACTTCGGGGGGTTTTCTGGGTAATGCTATCATAAAAGAAATATTTCTATTGGGTGCCATTTACTCATAGAAATTTGTACCTGAAAAATGTCGGGCACAATTTACAATATTTTCCTTTCGCTGGGTGAAATTTACGTTTCTCCTTATAATCACATTTAATACAATTTAGTCGTGTTTATGTTAATACAATAATAATAAAGTAAAATTAATGATAATGAATCAAAACAAAATTATTCTACGGAAATTAGTTAATAGAACCACGTTTCAGCTTCTATATCTACCATTTTTATGACTGGTGTTTATTCATGCGTATTATTCACTTAAGTAATTATTTATTGACAGCTCAGAAAAAGTGGACAAAAAGCTTTCGAACCCCTTAAGTTTAAAAGAAAAGCATTAAACACTATAGTAGCCAAGCATAAGTGAGCTCTTGCCTCATGATCAATTTTACATTAAAAACTGGGTTACCTAAAATCCACACAGAATTTAGCATTTACAGAATTTGTCTTATGACGAAGCAAGATGTATTCAATTTTAGTTTGATCAAGTATAAATAAAGTTTTTTTGCAAAATAATTTACGAGCACAAAGTTATCCGTTCAAACTTAATAGTGTATATGGGTAGTTTTTTTGTACGAAAATTAGTTAAATCGGGGAAAACCAAACTGATGCAAACTAATTCTACACTTAAGTAAAAATGATAATACAAAATATTTTAAAAACCTTGATATTTTACAAACAGCTTTAAGTCATAATAGAAATGAAATGAGTTACATATATGTACATTTATTATTCTATATTACTTGAAATTGAAGAAATTATACTATCATGGATCAAAAATATTTATCTATCAGGTTAGATTCTTTAAGAATTGAATAATACTAAATATTGGTTTTACTAACAAATGAAATATGAATATTGTATCTGAATTAATTAATCTCGGATAAGTTATAATTAAACAGTTACGTAAATAAACCCGTATTATGCGTGAGATATGACTGTGTTGGATTATTTAAACTCGGGATATGACGTAATTTCTTAAATCAAATGGATATAATAAGGCTAAGATCACTATAAAGTTCTTAAAAAATTATTTATGAAGTTTACATAAGTGAATTTATTAAAAGCTAGTAAAATAAATATCATATTCACTTTAAAGGTATCTAAACTTATCTATATTCTATATATGTACCAACTTTCACAATTAATCAATCGAAATTATTCTATCAAGTCTTAATACACATCATAATATATTACAGTCTATACAGTATTTACACATACGAAAGAAATATAAAAATAATTTATAGAAATATATTTAAAAAATAAATCTATCACAGCCCACAGGTACCTATAAAAATTTGATGGATATTATTTTGATTTATGGTCACACGCATAATATTGTATAGACGCATATATGTTTAACTTCAAGCAAGAGCGTGTCAAGTTCGAAGATTTTGCATATTACAAGAAAAACCTTTAAGAATGTAATAATAATCTTCATTCACTGTAAATTTGAACCTTGTTTATAAAAATAAAATAAAATAGCTATTGTCTACAAAATACAGAGGAGAAAAATCAATAAACCGTGCAAATACCTATAAGGTTATTACATCTCTTAACTTTTGTCTTTGAAACTAAACAAAAATACTAACTTAAGAATCATCATTTAAAGCATTGTATCTATATTATCTGAGTATGCAACATTTGAGTAAATATAAAATACCTTTGTCTTTGAGTAAATTAAGAAGTATTAACTATTAAGATATTATTGTAGATCGACTAGCGTAAATATTGATTTTAATAGACGTTGTTTAGGGTTTAAAAAATACATTTCTATATGAACAAATGAAAGAGGAGATTTCTATTGTCTGCTCTCTCTTTTTTTTTAATAATGAGCTTTTACGCGCTGCAAAATAATACTCTTTTACCCTCTTATTATTTAATATATTTTATAGGAAGAACTTTATTTTTTCCACATTGTCATACTGGTTGAAGTTAACAAATACATACCGTTGCCAACCGCAATATTTACAGATATGTAATATGATGCAATGAATAATAATATATATTGAATCAATTTTCAAATAACATAAGCCATAGTTAACCATAAAAATCAAACACATAGCAACCTACAGTAACTTACAGTAATTGAACTATACAGAAAAATTGTTTAAGACATAGGGTATGGATACAATTACGAATTTAAATTCGAAAATACTATCTCACTACCAAAATGAATGGACATTTTATATCAAAAATTCATTATTTTTTTTTAACGATATTTTTTAAATATGTTTAATTTGTATGCAGTCATGTTAAGTATCACTTACCGTATCTGGACAAGTGTTCATCATTGGCACAAGGTATGTTTCCGTTTGGTTCAATTCGATCTAGGTACTCCTCAGAATAACCATTGAATTGCAATTTACTGGGCAGTGCATCCCGAGATGTTCTGTTACGATCAGGATCTTCTTTAGAAATAGCTGGAAAGAAATATGAAATTAATATAAATGTTATGAAACATGATGCAAAATATTTTTAAACCATACGGTATAAAACTTTTTCATTTTAAAATATCATAAATATATTTTATAGTGTATACTAAAAATGTATTTTCTGGAAAAAAATATTTTTATATATTACCATTTGAAGAAGATTTACATATTTCCTTCAATGTGTATAGCTATTTTTTTTTTATTAAATATCATACTATTGAGGTGAACAAATATATTCAGTAAATCTGTGTCAAACATAATATACATTTAAAATTGCAGTCAGACATTTAAAAGTTATTATTATTATTATTATTTATTATTCATCGAAATCTAAATGGGGAAATAATATTCACTACAAGAAATGTTCAAATAATAAATAGTTTAAGTAGCATTAACAAATCCCAATTCAGTATGAAACTTTGTAACTTACTATAAAACCGATCAAGACAAAATTAAATAGATTATTATTGTACTCCAAAGTCCCAGTTACGAAAATGAGACCTAGATGGCCGGATTTCACATAAATGCAAATATTTAGTTAGCACAATATAAACTTTAATTATACAATGTTTTGTCATTTAAAAATATATGAGCCTAATTTCAAAATACAAGCTATAGTCAATGAACGATTATGAAGAACACGCCTAGGTATTTTTATAAACATAGTTATCAAAATGATGAAGTATCATCTTAATATATTTTACAATTTCACTGTTTTAGAGAAGTATAGACTACCTAAGTAGAACACTGATACATAGTATCAAATATTTTCTTTTCCTCATTTATTTAGTATTCAAATTTAATATGAATTTAAAAAAAAAAGTGTAATAAAATGCCTTAAGAGACTAAATATGAAAATCACAACATTTTAAATGCACACGCAATTTTCAATATCACAGATAGTCATTATCAAACATTTTTTTATCGGACTCTTGATGTTCAAGTTTTCAAGTAATCTATGATTATAAGACCTAACACAATTTGTTTTATAATACATTTAAATAAGTTTTTCATTTAGTAAAATTGTTTAAATAGTATACGCATTGAATAAATACAATAAATACGAATTAATAAAAATTAATATAACAAAAAATAATTTAAGTACAAAAATGCTTAAATATTAAAATTAAAAGACAATTGTTATGGAAAATGTCCACAATATAAATACAAAAAATCTAAGTTATACCTTTAACCTTAGAAAACTATACTATCATGAACTGTTATTATTTTTTTTAAATTAAATTTGATTTGAATAAATACATTCCAGTACGTTTTGTAGAGTTAAACAATTTGTAAAATGTAATAAACGACAATTAATATACAGACGATATCACCAACTATGAAGACCCTTGGACTTCGTAATCAAAATGTAAATCGTATTATATTTCAAAGTTGAAAACTATTTGGTTGAAATATAAAAAACTCTACGTTATAAAATTATTTTGCCAATGCGCATTTCCTTTGATAGTCATCCACATAATTCATTAATTAAAATATTTGTGTTTTTCAATGTACTGTAAATAAATTACCATAATATATAACATGAAAATATCTTATTCCAGTTTCAGTCAGGTTGCCCTAATCCAGCGTTTCCCAGACCATGCGTCGCAAAATTTTTTTGATGGGTTGTGACTCTCAGTTACGATTACGGTTAATTTGGCCGTAAATTGATACTCATATATTGTATAAAAATAATGTGAAGTCCAATTAGTATTGTAGAATGAATTACATCGATTTTACATTGGATATCATAATATTTTTAGTAATCTTTATATTATTTAATTACGATTATGGAATATTTGTTATCTTATCGGTGAGAACAATAAAATTTATTATAATAAAAATTTTATATATTTATGGCATACTTGATTTTTTTTTGTTTTTTTAGCAGGGGGTCGCTCAGCCAATAAAGATTAAATTTAGGGGTCGCCATTGCAAAAAGTTTGGGAAACACTGCCCTAATCAATTAACATTAAATTGATGAAAAATGCAAAATGAAACAAAACAAAAATATGAGCAATTTGATCTGCTATATGCATATTTTATAGGAACCACTATACGTCGTAAACCCATTAATACATTTAGTTAAGTAATGCATTACAGTATACCAATACACGAATTAATATTATTACTGTACATAGTAGTTGTAATTTATTACTTTGTTAAGTAATACACGCATTTTTAGTTTCATAAATAAGCAGAACATTAAAATATTTTTCTAAGAATTTCGATATGAAATCATGTTAATTTCGGTAACAATATAAATTATATTATATAGTATATTAGACATTAGTATATTACATTTAAAAAATATAATAATAACTTAAAATTAAATTAAACGTTAGCTATATTTAAAAAAAAATAGTTTCATTTTTCAGACCAAAACACATAGTTACAAAATTAATGATATTTTGTTCACTGAACTATAAAGCAAATCGTTTTTTTATCAAAGTAATTTTTCAAAAGGTTTAGGTAGGTCATTAGGGATTTCCTCATAAACATCACTCTTTTCAGTTTAGGAAGTAATGGTTTTTATTTTTTTTTCCGAAAATCCACTTTTTGAATTCATTTTATTCGATGATTGCATACTTGAAAAGAATTTAAATATTTAATATAATTCAAAATATATAATAAAATAATTATATGTACCTACTTTAAAGTATAATTTGCTGAGTCTGGTTTAGATCTTCGGAATTTATTAAGAAAATAAGAACAATACAACTGAACAAGGTATCAAACTATCGAACATAAAAACATAGTACAGATGAATACGCATAGCAATATACAGTATACATAGTATTAAATGCAGAAAATGATCACAGACAGTAATAATATACATATAGACATACTGCAGTATTGTTATAAACCCAAACCTTCAGTCACGAATTATTTGGTTAAGGAGTTTCGCTGGATTATAGTATTTCAAATAAAAATCGCAATATGTATTTTTGGTAGAAAAAATGCAAGGCAGAAATAACTGCTGCTGATAGACAAGAGATCTGAAATCACGAACCGTAATGTGTTGTGACAAATGCGCCAAACTTATTGATTTGTGGATTCGAGGGGATTACAATCGTAACAGATTTGTCAGGATACACGAACTTGGGTGTGTGTGGTTGGGAGTTATCCGTGTCTTAAGTCCCGAGGGGATACGAGTTATCAAGGGACGCATACACCCAATGCGGTATAATACGGTATAGTATCTCATTTGCTCGTTCGAGCAGTATAGGTGACACGCATGTGTTTCCTTCTCCTTTAAGCATTTTTATTCCAATGAAATAAAATAAAAAAGATATTTTAATCGAAAACACAAGCTTGATTGAATAACATGGCTTTCAGGAGAACTAATTGAAACGGGTTAATAGGTAAGGCAATTGATTTATTTTTGGCGCATAAGCGATTAAACTTCTCGGTTCATTAATCAACCAACCCTCATTTGATGTTTTTTTAATGACTTGAGAAATATTTAATTACGTTGACATCTTATTTAAGCGACAAAATATTACAGTTGGAAAATTGCTAGTTGTAATTGAAAAGCTCTAAAATGAATACATTCCTTCAACGATAGTAATACACGGATGTAGATAAATTAAGGCTAAAAGTGAAAAACACTTCATTGAACCAATAGGCGCCTACATGTACCTATATCCTACTTCGTGAATAAAATGATTAATATATAAGTAGCGGTACGTACAATATTATAGAGATCTGGCTATGTTCCATATCGTTTGGTGCTACCATACCGTATAAAAGGTTCCAGTCCATAAATACGTAGAACGTAAAACAATTTCTAGACGCATAAACGTGTTCCAAACGATTAGAACACATTATAATAAAAGCATGCATTAAACACGTAGATTGTATATCATAACTAAGATAATACTAATCACAAATAAGTTATATGTAATTAATATAAAACAAAGCTGAATACATTACAAAAATACAATATTACTATCAAGCAAAACATTTCATATTCCACTTTGAACCTAAAAAACAAAATGTAGGTATATAATATACATACGAGTATAATTAAGTTTATATTTTGTTGAAATCGTATGTAAATATAAGTTATAAGTATATCGATAAACGAATACTGGTCTGTTATTATGTTTATTCAGTTATGAATTTAAAGTTATAACTTATAATATTTGAACAAACTATATATCAGAATACTTGTTAAATTCATATTTTAACCAAAAATATCTAAAATCGAAAGCACTAAAATACTAAAAATAAATGAAACTTATAAATAAAATCTGTAGACATATTTTGAAAATAACTTTTCAAACCTAGTTTTAAGCACCAAAACTGCATAACATAAGTACATACCTACCATATTATAATAAAATAGTATGACAAAATGTTGTGCCTTAATAGAAAAAAAAGCAATACAACTAATATACGCCTAAATGACCGTGATTTAAAATGATTTATGTTTGAACGATGTGTCGATGTGTGTGTGTGTATTTAAGTACATTAAGCTACATAATATCGTAAAAATCAAATAAATTCTATACTTAAAATTAACAATTTCATCAATCCCACTGGTGTGTTTAAAAATAATAAATGTACACATATTGCATTGTATTAATACTTTACGGATATAAATAGTTGGTTAAAAATATGATCACAGCATTTTTATACGAAGTTCTACATTTTATGAAAATTCAATTCATATTGAAATAACTTATTTATCATACAGAAACTACCGCCACGTCTAAAGCTGCGGTTAGAGTCTAGCCTAACAATGAAGCCGGGTAGCCCATGTCTAAAAACTTTACACACAATAACAATATATCCAAGCCATTAATATATCAAAACCATTATACTGTTACTGAGCTGTTAGGGGTCTTTTGAATTTCCTATTATTGTTACCAAAAACAACAGCCAGGCAAATCACTGGACGATTTAATATTTTAATTAATGCATCTACCAGATGACGCCTATGCAGTTGAGTTATTATATTACTTTTTTATGTATCCATTCAT